TGCCTCAGTTTCCTCCTTGCCCCCAAAGCATGGTCGGAAGTCCTTGATGAGTAAGACCCCTCACAGTGGGGGGGCAACCTAGGCCAGACACAATCACTTGGGAGGCCTTCATGGAAGGACTTGAGGGGGCTGCAACAAAGAGCAATGGACTCTCGCCCCCTGGCTTTGAGATACCTGAGTCCCCATGTCTTCTGGGAGAAGCTCTTCCTGGCTCTAATCCCTGAAAGGTTTTCTTAGGCTCCGCCGAGGAAGAAATGCCAATCAGCCACAAAGTTAGGCAGTATAGAGCTTTAATGGGGTCTGCGCACCCAGGTGAGGTTCTCTGATCTGCAGAGTGGGACCAGGAAAGTTGCGCCCAAACAGGGAATATGGCAGGGTTTTATTTTGGTTGGCTCTCTTCACAGAAGCTGGAGATTGGTCCCCTTTGAACAAAGTGGCAATATATCATTGGTGGCTCTCCTCAGGCTCAGGTTGCTATGCAGATATCTGTTTTGGCAAAGCCTGCCCTTTCGGCTCTCTGGTTTGACATCAGCTGTCTTTTCTGGGTTGTAATTCAGCTGCCATTTTGTCCTACCCTGCCCAGGATTCCCTTAAACCTGAATACCTGTTGGGGAGGGGTGTAGCTCCTTGCCTTGCTTGAGCGTGTCCTGGGGAAAAATCTGGCATCACAAAGACTTCATGATAAACCTGTGAAATCTGTTCTGCTAAGAGTGCTTTCGTTCATATGATAAGGGTGCTAGAGGAAATGAGTATCTCCCCAAAGTTCTGCAACCCCCTTTCCTGACAGACACTGACTCACACTAAGCCCTCAGCTTTCTTGGAAATGTTATCTACTGTTTGATCCTTGATGCCCTGTATTCCAATAAAAGCCCTTGAAGGAAGGGGCTCAATTCCTTTTTCCCCTGAGAAACTGGCCACTGTTCAAGGCCTTTTTTCCTCTGAGAAACTGGCCACTTCTCCTCCCCAAGCAGATCACATCATGTCTCAGTTATGTTTACTCTCATTCGTGGCACACTGGGGGACTTGCGAGGAGTCTCCCCCACAAGCTGGCGTGGCCCCACGTTGTAGAGCCAATCATCTCCAAGCTCTCAGGCAGGCACTGTAACCTGGGGGGACCTGCCTCCCAGTTATGTCTTGGGTGGAAGTCACTTCCATCCCCATGGCTCAAAGCATGGCCACAGCTATTTCACATACCTATGAAACCAGTTAAAGGTTATAGATATGTTAAATGGCCATGCCAGAGGTTAGCTGCAAAGCTGTGGCTGTACAAAACAGCTCTCAATGGCCCTGCTCCATCTGTCCCTTCCCCCAACTCACACCTGAGGGGAAAGGGGGTGAGGATATCTTATATTTCTTTCTAATATTTCCTGCACACCCTGAGTTCTGGGCCCCATTCCAAATCCCTATTTGGGGCCTCCCTCTTGGCTGCACCCTGTTACATGCCCACTAAAAGAAAACAAACACTGGCTACCAGTGCTGAAAAATGCTGTTTATGTTGCTGAACACTTGCCAGTTTGTTTTTCTGTCCTTCTTATCACTTTGTGCTTTCCTTTAAAAAAGCAACTTTACCCTGCAAACAAATAGCAATGCAGTAATTACTATCACCTTTCCATGGTAGCCACAGTTGGCTTGCATATCCATGAGGGGGTCTACCATACTTCCAACCTCCTCTGGTTCCTCTTTGTACCTTAGACACCAGCCGTAAAGATTCAGTCTTCTGGTCTTTATGCCGAGGATCAAATGACACCATTGCTTTTCTCACAAAAGTCCTTTTGTAGTAGAGAATTGGGGAGCTAACTGGAAAATATTAGCTAAGCCTGATACAACAATAGTTCCAGCTCAGCCTCAACAACTATAAATTAATATGTGGTGGGAGGGGCCCGGCACCAGGGCACCTATCATCAGAATTGTTTCTGCTAACCACACTAGCCCGTGGCATTGTAACTTGTGGAAAATGGGTTTGCCTTTTATTACCTGGAAGCATCTGTATATAAAAATTGGTTGTGACCCTGAAGGTGTTCTGGGATGTTGCTACGAGATTGACCCTCCAGAACAAGATTGGGCCATAGTTTGTATCTCTCACCCAGCCTAGGTCTTTTATAAAAAGAATCAGCAAAAATTTATTGAAGGCTCCATATATGCCAGCTGCCTTACCCATCTCAACATTACTCAGCTAAACCTCACTATGGTTCATTTAGTTAGAAGACAAACTCAAATATGGGTGCCAGTTGATGTAACCAGAAAATGGGAAGATTTCAATAACATAATAGCGCTTAACAACATGCTGTCCTCCTTAAGAGTCTGAAGGTTCATCGGCACCCTAATTGCATTCATTGTCTCTGCTATAGTTGCCACAGCTACTGCTGCCAAGGCAACTGCTGCCCTCATTGACTCAGTTCAAACTGCTCATACTGTTGATGTTCTCTTAACCAATACTACTTTAGAAATGCTCCAACGGGCCCAGATTGATAAAGAGATCCTGACTCATCTTTCTGCAGTTGAATCATTACTGGACTGAATCAATGAGCACCAGGACTCATTAGTGACCTGTTAACAGCTGACCTGTGATCCTGGATTCTCCAAGCTATGCATCACCCTGTTCCAGTGGAATTCTAGCCAGCGCTGCTGGAGCGATATTCAACATTGCCTAACAGGGGCTTTTTCTACTAACTTAAAGGGACAAATTGATAAATTGCAGCTAGAGATGCATCAGCAGTTGCAGGACATTCAATGCTTGACCAAGCAGGAGGTCTTTCAAACCTGATAATCTTGGCTGTCTAAACAACAACAATAACAACAACGGTCTGATGGACTTAACCTGAGAATGTGGGTCTTTAGAGTTTCTGGTTGCTTACTGATTCTAACAATGCTTTGTATACTTCAATGCATTTACAAATTATTTTCCCAGGGCACATAAAAGCTCAGCCAGTAGCAAGCTTTGTGGCAATCCTAACTAAAAACCAGGGGGGAATTATAGGGAACCAATTCACTTGGCAATGCCAAAGGTAGCCTGGTCCTGTTGGAAAACCGGCAGGCAAGAGTCAGCACATAGGAGCCAAACCCACAGATCAGCTTTTCTGTGGAAAACCAGGCCTGCGTTATATGTAGGCTGCTTTGAGGTGTACTTTTCCTAAAACTCCCTCAACCTGAATTGAAGCAGAAAATGTTTACTACATATCTTTAAAGTAACTTCCTAAAGTCTGTGCTAATTCTCCCAAGGATGGAGTGTAACCGGACCAATCCCTCTTACCATTCCCTTGCATTTACATTTTTTATTTGTTAATCTGTAAGAAGTAATCAGCAACACCCTTTACTTCGTTATCTGTAAAAAGTAATCACCTAAAGCAAACCTGAGCATAATGAATGTGAACCCGTTTTGATGTATGCTATTAGAAAACAATAAAAGCCTGTCCAGGCAAGGGTCTGGGCACTCTCACTCAGAGAGTGACCATGCCATCCCTTTTTCTCCACAGGACTTCAGTAGTCCGTGTGAATTTGTTCATTGCATTCACAACACTGTGGACGCCACCGGCCAGAGTCCACATCATTTTTTAAAAAATTTACCTACACGGTATTCTGCTATAAATCTGTTCCTGTTTTTTTCTCTTGATATAAAGGACCCATTATGTACATCTAGTTCATTGTTTCTACATGCTACATACTCAGTATATAGTATACTTTATAGCATTATTTATGCTACTATGTTGAAATAACCCAAATCTTGGACAGTTGGAAGTTGTTCAGTAATCTTAGAACATTAGCAGTGTGAAATAACATGACTTCATTAACATTGATAGTTGTAGATGCCATGGGAAACATGTTTATGATGTAAAGGGAGAAAAGCAGACAAAATTGGCTTTTCCCTGTGAAAACAACCCTGTATAATACATATTCATACAGCCAACAGCTGGAAAAGATCAAAGAAAAATAAAAATAGCTCTGGATGTTGGAGCACAGGAACTGTTGTGACATTTCTCTTGTAGGTGTTAAGTCATGATTATGGTGTGCCTGGGTATTTGGCCTACACACCAGAGCTTTACCCAGGTATATTCTTAGGTGAGGAAAGAGATCAGAACAAGGTTAATCTGATGCCTGTCCCAGAGTTGGCATCTGGGTGCCTCTCCTTGGCCAGAAAGTCTTCCTCTCCACCATCTGTGTCCTGCAGTGAACTTCAGCTATTTCTCTCCCAGGGGAAAACAGGATTGAAACTATGTCTTTTTAGAAGGCTGAGATAGCCCTGTAGAATTTAACTATCTTCAAGATTAAACAAAAAAAGCAAAATTCATGCATAGTTATATATATCATTCTTTCATTTGTTAAAAAAGCAAAACATAAAAATTTGTAAGTGTATGGAAATTTTCTGAAAGACTAGACAAGAAATAGTAAACAGTAACTATCCTGGGGAAGGTAGTTGGGGGATCTGGAGTAGGAGGGAGACATACTTTTCTTTAAAGTATAGGAGAAATATTTATTGTTTTTTCAAACCATGTAAACCGAGCATCACCTTTTCGACTAAAATTTTACTTTTAACAGTTTAAGTCCCTCGATTTCATGACCCTGACTTTTAAAACTTTGCTTTGAAAAAGGTTTTAATTTTATTACAAAGCGATTCAAAATAATAAATTCATATTTTGAGCCTCAAATTGTAATATTTCTTTTTAGTGATAAGGATTCAGCCCACTTCGAAGACTAATTGCATGAGTTACCAATCACAAAGCAAATACTATTCTGACATTAATTCCTACTCAGAATACAATTGATAGTCAAGATATACGGAAAACCAAGAGTACCTAAGGCTTCAGATGTAATAGCAGTTGTCATTACCACGGACTTTTTCTCCATGCTTTCCCTCCCTTGCCAGGTGTGTTCGAATGCTACCTTCCATCCCCAGGCCCCAATCCCATCCCCCCAGTCCAGCCTTGTCCGCTCCTGCGCGTTGACAGTCTCTCCTCCTCGCCACCCCCTTTGGTAGGAGAACCCGTGGATTCAAAGACCGAGCACTAGAGTCCGAGGTGACCCCGCCCGCCGCGGCTGAGTCCAAGAGCTGCAGCCCCAGGTGCAGCATCACTCCGCGCCCTGGGTGAGCAGCTACCACTGGCTGAGGAGAAGGCAGTAACCGTTTGGAGGCTGGGCGCCAGCACAAAAATCGCTTCCGGCCTGGCGCTGAATTTTCAACTTAACCCGAGCCAGGCTCCGGAAGTTAAAGTTAATAGAGATGACTCCGGAAACTAAACCAAATTCCTACCGTTGGCCGCCTCCCCGACCCCGCCAGGCGGTTAGTGTGCTGCGCCACCCGGAATAGTCCCTTCTCTCTGAATTCTCCTGCGGGCTGCAGCCAGGCTTGGTGATTCAAGGGCTGGCGACTTTCGGGCCCGCTGGTACCACATTCGGCCGCGAGAGGTGGCTGGCAGCATGGCGGACCGCGCAGACTACAGGGAAGGCACTGATGCTCAGCAGCTAGTGATCCTGCTTCCAGGTAAACACGCCTGCCTAGGGAAGCACTGTAGGCACAGCCTCCTGCCTCGTTCGGCTGGCTCCAGAGCGCGGAGGTTGTGGCTTCCGGGCGGGCTTCCCTTAGCGGCCTACGGGCGCGCCCCTCCGCCGGCCTTCAGCCCCTGCGGCCTCCCACGCGCGTGCACCCTTGCGGTTCCCACCGCTCTCTGTGAGGCCAGACGCGGCCTTCTCAGATTTACGCTTACCTAGGTCCTTGGGCCCCGGGTGTTAGACCAGATCTAGGGTTCTGGTCTAAGGGTTCTTTCCCTTGAACACATTGTCCCTCTTCTTGGTCACACGTTACAGCCAGCTGTGGTTTTAAAACCTAAAGCTGAAAGTGTAAAAACGGACCGAGTACCAGCCAGCCCCTGCCCCCAACACATACACCGACACCTCCCCCCCCCCCCCCCCCGGCTTCGCTTACATTCTTTGTGGCTCTGGTGGGCTGTTGGGAACGGCCCTGGGCCTGCGGGGACTAGCGTAGATTCAAGGCCTTGGGGTGCGCTTTGATGCTCGGAGGTGTCTTGCCCCGAGGAAATGTAACTTGTTGTTCCCTACCCCTCCTTGGCTTTAGGCCCCTCGTCTGTGTTCCTACTTGATTGGAAACGAGGATCCAGTAGGCCCGAAATGGCCTGGGAAACACGGCCCCCGCCCTGGTTACTAGCCTTGGATCAGGAAAGGCGGAAGGGAAGCTGTTTTTGTGGTAGGGGTCAGGACAGGGTGGTTAAACAGGCAATTAGGTAATGACAGGACTGCTGAATTCAGGTTTTCAGCCCCTATCCCCATCCTGAGGATCAGCCAGAGCCTGTGGGAGTTTGGAATGATAATCAGTTGCCACATGTGATGGGCCACATTAAGTGGCAGATAAAAGGAATTTGGGACTAGGGAGTGAGAGCAGAAAGGTTTGACCCTTTTATAGAATGATGTTAGTATGATGACATAACATTGGAAATAAGGAAAATCTGTTGTTCAGTATATTTGAGATTTAGCTCAGCAAATGCTAAAGTTATTTGCTGCTGCTGATATAGTTGACCAGTAATGCAGATTTTATGGTGGATATTGAAAATTGTTACTCAGTTTGTCAATAGTTTCATGAGTATATTTAACTTTTTCAACCTTTGTAAAGACATATGACACATGCACATTAAAGAGTAGACATTTAAGTGTGCAACTGAATTAACCATGTAAGTGTAATTCAACCCCTGTAACCATCCTCCAGGTCAAGATGTAGAACTTTTTCAGTGAACTCCTCATGCCTTTTTGGTCGATAGTGCCAATGACCTGTCTGCTGACTCCTGTCACCAGAGTCTCATTTTGCTTTTTGGATCAGTGTGTGCTCCTTTGTGTTTAGCTCTTTCACTGAGAAATATACCTATAGGATTCATCCATATTGGGCATAGCAGTATGTGAGTTGGTATTTTTATTTCTCTGTGTACCGTGTTTTTTGGACTATAAGATGCACCCCCCAAATTTGGGAGGGAAATGAGGGTGCATCTTACAGTCCAAATTTAGCTTACCTGGCTCATGTGGGGGGGGGGCTGTGGAGCGGAGTCACAGGTAGTTAAATATATTACCACATTTTTTGCTTCAAAAATTTTTTTCCTATTCTCTAAAACATAGGTGAGGTGAGTCTTATAGTCCTAAAAATACGGTATTTTATTGTATTAATATCCATAATATTTATCTCCTGTACTGTGGACAGATTTGTGGATTGTTTCCAGTTGGTAACTATTATGAATTATACTTCTAGGATAGACTGAGGAACTCATTTCTCCAGGGTGCATACGCAAGAGTAGAATTGCTTGTCTTAGGTATTTTTATGTTCAGCCTTACTAGACACTGCTAAAGAGTTTTCTGAAATGCTTGTACTGATTTACACTCTGACCAGGAGTGTATGAGACTTTCTGTTGCTCCACATCCTCACTAGAGATGTTTGTATATTAAAAGTTAATGCAAAATTTAGAGTTTTGACAAATCTAGTAAAGGACTCTCTGTGTATATTAAAAAAAAAAAAACAACCTTTTGTTACATCAATTCAGTGAGATTTTAAGGGTAGGAATGCTATTCTTTTATTTTTTTATTTTTTTAACATACATTAGGCAAAATTTATTTAAAAAACTTAGAAATAAAAGAACAAATGACAAATTTCAAAAATAGTATTTAAACACCAATGTCAGAGAAATGGCTAATTTCTTTTTTTTTAATAATATTTGTTTTTTTTTAATTTTATTTAGTTATTTTTCAACTACAGTTTTTTGTCTATTTTTCCCATCCCAGCCAACCCCCGCCCCTTGCTCCCCACCTCCCTCCCATTTCCACCCCCCTTAGTTCTCGTCCCTGTGTCCTTCCTATTTGTTCCTCCAAATCCCTCCCCCTTTCTCCCCTTAACTTCCCTTCCTTCTCCCCTCTGGTCACTATCCCCTTGTACTCTATTTCAGTTTCAGTGTCTTTGTTTTTTTTTTTTTTTTATGCTTGCTTGTTTGTTTTGTTGTTTAGCTTCCTGTTAAAGGTGAGATCATATGGTATTTGTCTTTCAGCACCTGGCCTATTTCACTCAGCATAATGCTTTCCAGTTCCATCCATGTTGTTGCAAAAGGTAGTAGCTCCTTCTTTCTCTCTGCAGCATAGAATTCCATTGTGTATATGTACCACAATTTTTGATCCATTCATTTACTGATGGGCACCTAGGCTGCTGCCAACTCTTGGCTATTGTAAATTGTGCTGCTATGAACATTGTGGTGCATAGGTTCTTTGATATTGATGTTTTAGGATTCTTAGGATATAATCCCATCAGTGGACTTGCTGGGTCAAAAGGCAGGTCTATTTTTATTTTTCTGAGAAAATTCCATACTGTTTTCCATAATGGTTGTACCAGTCTGCAATCCCACCAACAGTGAACTAAGGACCCCTTTTCCCCACAACCTCTCGAACATTTGTTGTTTGTTGCTTTGTTTATGAGAGCCATTCTGACTGGTGTCAACTGGTATCTCATTGTGGTTTTAATTTGCATCTCTCTGATAGCTAATGATATTGAGCATCTCTTAATGTGTCTCTGAATGTTCTGTATGTCCTCCTTGGAGAAGTGTTTGTTCAAGTCTTTTCCCCATTTTTTAATTGGGTTGGGTGTCTTCTTAGAGTGGAGTCGTGTAAGTTCTTTGTATATTTTGGAGATTAAACCTTTGTCTGAGGTATCATTGGCAAACATGTTTTCCCATACAGTTGGTTGTCTTTTTAATTTAATACTGTTTTCTTTAGCCATGCAGAAGCTTTTTATTTTGATGAGATCCCATTTGTTTATTTTTTCCTTTATATTCCTTGCTCTAGGAGACATATCAGTAAAGAAGTTGCAGCCTGAAATATCTGAGATTTTCCTGCCAATGTTCTCCTCTAGGATTTTAATGGATTCAAGGCTTGTATTTAAGTCTTTTATCCACCTTGAATTTATTTTGGTGTATGGTGTAAGTCTGTGCTCAAGTTTCATTTTTTTGCACGTAGCTGTCCAGTTCTCCCAACACCATTTGTTGAAGAGGCTATCTTTACTCCATTTTATGTTACTGCCCCCTTTGTTGAATATTAATTGACTGTAGAGAGTAGGGTTTATTTCTGGGCTCTCTGTTCTGTTCCATTTGTCTATGTGCCTGTTTTTATGCCAGTACCATGCTGTTTTGATTACAGTGGCCTTGTAATACAGTTTGATATCAGCTATTGTGATCCCCCCTACTTTGTTCTTCTTTCTCAAAGGAGCAGCTGCTATTTGGGGTCGTTTATGGTTCCATATCAATTTTCGAAGTGTTTGTTCTATGTCTGTGAAGTATGCCATTGGTACTTTAATAGGTATTGCATTGAATGTCTAAATTGCTTTGGGTAGTATGGACATTTTGATGATGTTAATTCTTCCAATCCATGAACAAGGTATATGTTTCCATTTGTTTGTGTCTTCCTTGATTTCGTTCTACAGGGCTGTGTAGTTTTCTGCATACAGGTTTTTTACCTCCTTAGTTAGGTTTATTCCCAGATATTTTATTTTTCTTTTTGCTATATCTAATGGGATTTTTTTCTTTATTTCTGCTTCTGCCGATTCACTGTTGGTATACAAAAATGCCTTTGATTTCTGGATGTTGACTTTGTAACCAGCTGTGTTGCCAAACTCATTTATTAGTTCGAGCAGTTTTTGGGTATAGTCTATAGGATTTTCCATGTACACTATCATTTCATCTGCAAACAGTGACAGTTTTGCTTCGTCCTTTCCTATGTGGATGCCTTTTATTTCCTTTTCTTGCTGATTGCTGTGGCTAAAACATCCAATACTATATTGAATGGAAGTGGTGAAAGTGGACAACCTTGTCTTGTTCCTGATCTTAGTGGAAAAGCTTTTAGTTTCTTCCCATTGAGTATGATATTGGCTGTAGGTCTCTCATATATGGCCTTTATTATTTTGAGAAATGCTACCTGTATTCCTACTTTGCTGAGTGTTTTTATCATAAATGGGTGTTGTACCTTATCGAAAGCTTTTTCCGCATCTATTGATATGATCATGTGATTTTTGTCTTTGCTTTTGTTTATGTGATGTATTACATTTACTGATTTGCGAATATTGAACCATCCTTGCATCCACTAGTTGGATGCGATTTGCCAATATTTTGTTGAGGATTTTAGCATCTATGTTCATCAGTGATATTGGCCTGAAGTTTTCTTTCTTTGTTGTATCTCTATCTGGTTTTGGAATTAAGATGATGCTGGCTTCATAAAAAGAATTTGGGAGTTTTCCATCCTTCTGGATTTTTTGGAATAGTCTGTGGAGAATAGGGGTTAGCTCTTCCTTAAATACTTTGTAGAATTCTCCTGTGAACCCATCTGGTCCGGGGCTTTTGTGTGATGGGAGTGTTTTGATTACTGCTTCAATTTCTTTTGCTGTTATTGGTGTATTTAGATTTTCTGCTTCTTTTTCACTGAGTTTTGGAAGATTGTATTTTCCTAGAAATG